TCTGTCTTCAAAACATATTCATAATCTGACTGGTTCTCACTCTGCCCACTTGTTATATCTGGTCCAAAACAACATCAACTCTTGCCTAGATTATTGACAGTCTCCCTGCTTCTACCCTATTCCCAAAGGACATTTCAGCATAGAAGCCAAGGATCCCTTTAAAATCTAAGTTCAACTCAAGCTTCTGATCAAAATCTTCCAATGTCTTCTACTTCAGAATATAAAGCCAAAATTATTACACAAATCTGCAAGGACATATGTAATCAGCTTCCTGTTACCTCTCTGACCATAAAGCCTGCCACTCTCCCCATCACTACACTCAGCCATGTGGGCTTCCTCCTAGTTTGTATCTACAAGGTACACGCATCTCAGGATTTTATTCTTGTACAGAACATCTTCAAGCCCTTCAGGAATCTGTTCAAATGTCACCAGCGAGGCCTTTCTGAGCAACTCCCACACCTCACCATATGTACTTATACTTCCTCTTCACTTCATATTCCCACTGCCTACCTTGTTTTCTTACCATAGCATTTCATCACCAGCTTAGATGTTTCCATTATTTTGTTAATGTCTATCTCTTTCTACTAGAATATACTTTGTGAGAATACAGGTTTTTGTGGGCTTTGTTCATTGATTTGTCCCTGGTGGAATCTAGAACTATGTCTAGTATATTGCATATTCTCAATAAATATTTTTTACTGTAGACTACCCAGTCTAACACAGTATGGTCCCTAGCTATTCCCATTCTGTACCAACTATACTAACCTTTTGATATTCGCTGAGTAGGCCAAACTAGTTTCTGACTCAGGGGCCTTCAGAATTGCTATTCCTCTGTCTGGAAAATCATCCCCAGATATCTGTATGGCTTGCTGCCTCTTATATACTCCAATGACACCTCCTTGGAAAAGCCTTTTAAAATAACCACCCACTGATCAAGAATTCCACACATTCTCACTAACCTCTAACCATGCTTTATGTTTCATTTTTCTTCATAGAATTAACCTATCTGATACCATACATACAACTGCATCTGTCTTTATCATTAAAGTGTAAACTCTACAAGGACACAGGAATCCATCTCTTTTTCACCATTGTATCCACACCTATAACAATGCCTAGCACACAGCAGGCACACAATATCTGTTGAAGAACAACTTAATATGTGAATAAACACTGGTTTAAGCAACATTTAGCTAATCTTTCTGTAACAAAGGAAAAAATCCTTACTCCGGATGAAAAGATAAAGAAAACACCCAATCCATAGGGCTTCTTCTATCACTATTATCATATATATATAAAAGCCTAAAAAGTGACCATTCAACCATTCAACCAGTAGCTATGACACACACTGACCACCAAGGGGAAGACACTCAATGCACAGGCATGGATACATGAAACAGAATGATGAATCTCAGAAGGAAGGGGGGAGAAGGGAAGGTGAGAAGAGATTAACCAAAGATATTATATGTACACTAGAGGCTCAGTGCACAGATTCATGCTCGAGTGGGGTCCCTTGGCCTGGCCTGCAAGGATCAGGTTGAAACCAGCAGTCCAACATCCCCTAATGGATCCTGGATTGCGAGAGGGCACAGGCCAGGCCAAGGGACCCACCAGTGCACGAATCTGTATGCCAGGCCTAGAATATGAAATAAAAATAAGTGTGGAAGTCTAAAACCAGGTAGTGCCTTTGAATGTTACTAAAGAGCAACTGAAGGCCTATTAATTGAATGACATATTAAAAGCCTCTTTTTCACATTACACAATTTTAACATCCCACAGAAAAAAGAAGGGGGGAAAAAATGGAAGCACAGAGATGAGAAGGATCTGCTGCAATTGCCATACAATATCACAGTTACAGAGGTAGGGAACATTGTTAAACCTCTTATTATACAGAAGTGAAGTCCAGAAAAGCTAAAAGACTTGTTCACTGACAGAGCTAGAATTAGAACCTAGGCCTTCTCTCAACACCAAACTCTGCCTCATTGGCAAAGCACAAGCAATGCAAGAGTCTAATTTGACCTTAAGATATAAACACATTCCAAAAAATATATGGGCAAAGGAAAAACATAAACAGAGGAAAGAATGTTTAAACACACTAATAACAAGTGTTTAAATACGAATTATTTTTCAACCTAACAATTAAAAAAAAAAAAATGACAACCTTACTGCTAGCTGAAAGCCTGGTAGAACTGGCATATCCTTTCTGGAGGACAATCTGGAAGTACATATCAAACTTTAAAACTATATATATCCCTTAACCTAACAATTCCATTTCTAGCCTTCTGGATGACTGTGATGTCCACTAAAGTTCAAAATCACTGTTCTTCTATAAAAAATCATCTAGCATGTTTTTCAAAAATACATTATCTAGCTCTGGTCAAAGTGGCTCAGCTGGTTGGAGCATCAAGATCCCTTACACTGAAAGGGATATGGGTTTGATTCCCAGTCAGGGTACCTAGCTGAGTTTCAGGTTCAATCCCCAGTTAGGACACATACAGCAAGGTGGCCAATCAATATTTCTCTCTCACATCAATGTTTCTCCTTATCTATTTATCTTTCTCTCTCCCCTTCCTTCCTTCCTCCCTCTCCCCTGTCTCTAAAACCAATAAGCATGTCTTTGGGTGAGGATTTAAAAATAGATTACCTAGTCAGCTGATTTTCAACAAGGGTGCCAAGAAAATCCAATAGGGGGAAGAATAGTCTGTGCCCTTTTGTAGCCAAAATATGATTGTTGTAACTACTGGCACAAAGCCTTCTTTATCTCTGGAATAATATACAAGTTACTGGCCAGTTGATCTGCTGGAGTGTGAAGTGGGTGAAAGGAGAAGCTAGAAAGTAAGATGAAGCTAAGAGTGAAGCGCAGAGGTAGTTGATATGTGAGGCTACAGAGACCAATCCATGTGCTGAACAGGGGAGACAGGAGAAGCTACTGAGGCAGAGAGCTTCGGTACCGCTACAATGTGAGATGGTGAGTCTAGGAGGCAGTGTGCAGCCACTCAGATAACAGCTGTGGGTACAGAAACTAATTCTGCTTTGTGGGGAAGATGTACACATTAACCAGCTGGTGTACGGCTGCTTCCTGTATAGGACTGCTGTAAAGAACTGTTTTTGTCTGAAGGCTATATGGCCACTGGCTTCTGCAATAAAGAGTCATTCTTATATGTCCACAACTTCTCATGTCTTCTCCAGTCCAGCCCCAGACAGAGGGGCCCAGACCCAACACCTGTAACTAGTGAGCAGAAAATAAAAAAGGAACTTGGACTAAGTTCCCAACAGTTAGTACAGTGGTAGGTTTCAAGAAGGAACCTGTTCTGGTATAGTCGGAAAGAATTTAGAATATATGGACTCAAAGCAACCGAGAACAGCAATGCTGACCAGTGCTCTGGCAGTGTTCATGCTGTCTCTGAAAAGAATACATTAAAAAAAAAACAAAAAAAAAAAAAAAACTAAGTAACAGAAAGACAAATAACCAAGTGTAAAATATGGGCAAAGGATTTGAATAGACATTTCTCCAATGAAGATGTACAAATGGCCAATAAGCATGTGAAAAGGTGTCACCATCATTAGCTATCAGGGATGCAAATCAGAATCATGAGATGTCAACTTCACACCCACTTGGATGACTAGAATCAAAAAGTCAGAGAATAACATTATGGATCAGAACACACAGAGAGAGAGAGAACAGAAAAGAGAAAAGGGTGCAGGACCATATCTTGAAAAACTCCAAATTTAACAGCCAAAAGAAGAGAAGCAGCTTTTAATGAAAACCAAGATGTGGTTGCCAGAAAAGGAGCAAATCAGTTGGTCATAGAAGGCAAAGGCAGAGAGCTCATCAAAGCAGTGGACACAGTCAGTGCAATTTAATACAAATAAAAGATTAAGCAAAATGAATGAAAGTGTTTCTTGGATTTAGTGATATGGAGATCATAGCATTTCCATACAATGATAGTGACAAAATTACTAAGAACTTAGGCTATCTTTTTGCACATTATAATGTGTAACATGTCACTCAAACATTGAAGGTTTAAAGTAAATGAGTACCTTGATTATCTGCAATTAGTTTCAAATCCTCTTGAAAGATGAGTCTGGAAAATAAAAATTGATTAGAAAAACAAGCTGACAAATTCACAAAACCACAGTAAGGACTCTTTCAAATTACCTAAAAGAGATCAGCCTCCATAAAGGACTATCTTGTAAAGCAAGGTTAATACTACTTCCAGCTTCTTACTGAGTAGGACAGGTGTGTTGACATCTGCCACATTTGCCATGAATGAGATCCAGCGTCCGCCCACAGTAATAAATACTATCCTGCATTATAACACGTCTGAGTGATTCTAGGAAGACCAACGACTACAAAACAGCAATACATATGAAGTAGGCATCCAGACCACCTTCCATCCGAAAGACACGTTGTCGGCCCCAGATTCAGACTGGTTTCACACGTAAACGAGAAAGAAAAGGGAAGACACAAGACACCTACCCTGATGACCAACTTCGGTTTAAATCCTTACTGAGACACAGCTCTGTAAAAGCTACTGCGACAGCCTCCTGCCATCCTGCACGTTCACTAAGGCAGACAGTGCGAGGACGAATGCAGCGCATCTTGACGATAGAGCCGAGGTCCCGTCAATACTCCCTACAGCCCAGCAGCCCCTGAGACCAACGACCCCGTCCTCACTTTGGGCAGGACTTCCAGCCTCTCTGTTCCCTCCTCCTACCTGGCAAGTCCCCCTTTTAACTGCGAAACAAGTCATCCAACAGCTAGGAAGAGACTGAAACTGGGGGGGGGAAGGCTCCGACCTAAAAGGTATATGTGCCAACCTCTGTCCCACACGGACCCCTCCACCCCCGTCACCCAAAAGTCGCGAAATTACAAACCAGTCCTAAATGACACTCGCCGCTCTCGCACCGCGCAGACTTCAGATGGAGCTCGCCATGACACTGACGTCCCGCCACGCTCATTACGCATGCCCTGCGACGGTGGCCCGCGAAGACCAAACTGCGTCACGGCTGGAGCGCAACCTTTGGTGTGACACAATCCAGTGAGGATTACATTGACAGGTCCTCCGGGAGCCGCGGTAAAAGTACAACCTCGAGGCATCGCGTTCCTAGGATCGCTAAATAGCTAATCTCTGAGCTCTTACTATGTATCAGTCACTGTGTTAAGGTAAGGGCTTTGCATAAACATTTTCTTCCGATTCATTCATTACCACAATTTACGGTACCAAAGAGAAAACCGGAAGTCTAAGTACTTGCCCCAAGCTACTCCCTGGTAATGACTGACCTCTGTGATGAACCCAGCTTTCCTGGCTCCCAAAGAACCAGCTCTTTTCGTTACGTTTTCTAGCTTACTCAACCGTTTGTGAAAAGAGGTTATATTAGGGAAGAGAGCAGGAGAGGATAGAGAAAGAACAAAGGTAGATTAAATTTTAATATGGGTCATTTAGCACCAAGCAAGTTTTGTTTTTTAATGTTCAGAAGCCAGTTTAGCAGCCAAACTGTAAGGCAGTTTAGCGGAGAAAGAAAACTTGGATGGAGTATACTGATTCTGACCTGGTCATCTTACATTCGTTATGTCACTTTATGTTCTTTCCTCAAGACACTGTGTTTGACCTTCTGTTCCCCAGAAGAACGTTTCTACTTCAAAATGTGGAGCCCATGAGCCAAAAAACAGAAAGTCAGACCCTAGCTGGTTTGGCTCAGTAGGTAGAGTGTCACCCTGCAGACTGAAGGGTCCCAGGTTCGGTTCTGGTCCAGGGCACAGCCTGGATTGCGGCCTCGTCCCCAATAAGGGGAGTGCAGGAGGCAGGCGATTGGTGATTCTATCTCATTATAGATGTTTCTATCTTTCCCTCTCTCTTCCTCTCTGAAATCAATAAAATGTTTTTTTTTTAAAAGGAAATCAGAACTCTTGAGTTTTATATCTGACTCTGGGTTTCACAGTGATTTGGAGTAATTGCCTTATTTTATAAATGTCTTTTCCTAGTGCAATTTCCTCTAGTTTAAGTGCCTCCCTTTGCTCATCCATATTCATAAAAGAATCTGATCTGTCACCTGGGAGCCACTGCAATCCACCCAATGAATTATCTATAATAATAAAAGGGTGATATGATAATTAGACCAGACGTCCTTCCAGGCAAAGCCGGGGCTGGGAGGGTAGCCAGTGCCAACAGCCGGGGGAAGGAAGACCTACACTTGTACAAATTTCGGGCATCAGGCCTCTAGTAATTATATGTTTATGTTGCCCCATCTCTTTTACTAGGCCAAAAGTAATCCTTGGGTTATCTTCTTGGTTATAATCCCACTGACTAGAACATAATCTTGCACCCAATAGCCACTCAATAAACATATAAATAACTCTACCCCTTTTCCCCAAGATCTAGTTAAATTCAATTGAAAAAAATTTATTGAGTGCATACCACTGCTGGATGCTATAGCTAGAAAGGAAGAAGACCACTCCCACCATTATTTCAGCCTACTTTAAAAAAATAGTTTCAGTAGAGAAAAGCAGTCACCATGGAAGATAAACGCAGATCTGTGGATCACAAAAAGGAGGCTCCACCTCTTGCATAAAGAGATCAAGATTTCCCACATGGAGGAAGTAAGGGAAATGGATGAAGGTATTCCAGGCTGGGAAGACAATGAGAGAAAATGCATAGAGGCCTGAAACTGTTAACTAATGTACATCATAAAAGCAAGCAGGGAAAAGTTGGTAGAGAAGGCTAGAGAGGGAAAGTACAAGAACCAAATTAAGGTGAGCTACTTTAGTAAGGTGGCTACAATGGAGACATTAAATCTAATTCTGGATGTATTAGGTAGCATGAAAGTGACTGAGCAAATTCTTTTCTCAGGAGAGTGTGCTGAGAACAAAACTTCAGACATGAAGAAATATTAAAAGCCTATATGAGGACTCTATTCCTAAGCAGATCCTCCTGTGACGGTAATGACATATTGCATGGGATCTACTGGTTTTACTTGAAATGGAGAGAGAAAGAAACTTGCCATTATTGATGTACCATAGAAGGATCAAACCGCAAAATCACTAACTTGCTGACTGTCCAACTGAGTGAAAATGGGTTGCTTATTTTCCTAAGAATTCCAAGTTTTGTATATATGGGACTGCTTCATAAACTGAACAATTTTCTTTGGGAAGAGGGTTGTAATAGTTTCCATTAGACTCACTTTCTGTGAGGTTTAGGTGGCTTGCTAATATGTATTAGAATTGTCCACTCACCAGCCCAATGTAAGACCACCCAGGTGGCCTTCGTGTTTTGCACTAAATTTTAGCAATAAGCTATTGAAGTTAGCTAATGAGAGATTATATGTCACCAATCCAAGTGTTTCAAAATGTGGCTTGGGATCCAAAGGAAATAAATTTGAGGTTCCATTATTTTCAGAGATTTTATAAGAATCATCAAGAGAATTTAATATCTTTTTTATGTATTTTATGTTCATTTTAACCTTTCCAAGCAAATTAAAGTGTATGAACACATACACACACACACACACACACACACACACACACACACACACACACCTATATAAGGAATGGGAAATGGGAAGGGATGACACAAGAGATACTGAGAAGATAGAATTATCAAGACTTAGTAAGTGATAGGTGCCAAAGAAAATAATACAAAGATGTTTCCAAGTTTTTGGATAAAGTGACTAAGTCCAATACCTTTCGTGAAATCTGTCTAGTTAGGGACTTATAATCTGAATCATTTGAAAAGCCCTTGACCCTCCCTCAAAGAATTTGTATAGCAGATATGCTCATAATTAACAAAATGACATATGTGCTAGATTATTCTTTGAAAGTGTTGGAAGTAGCAAGACTGGAAACCCTTTCTAGCTTCTCACTAAGGGTATATAGTACATACTATAAATATACTTATGGTATATACTAGATAGCTCTTTAAAAAGAACAAGGTTGCATTTAATGTGCTATCAAAGAAAGTTGAACATTATGTATACAGTATGTGAATACAGTCATTAAAGATAGATAGTATATTTGATAGAATATATAAGTAACTGGTAATGGGGTTGTGTTTAGGAAAAGGAGCTGAGTGGCTAAAATAAGATTTATTTTTTTTCTATATACCACTTTGTATTTTTTATTTTTGTACAATACAAATGTATTATTTACTCAAAAAATAAATGGGTACATTTTATTAATCAAGTTAAGACAGCATTTGATAATTTATAAAGTACTGGTTTATCTGGTACATTGTAGTGATGGAATTTAATTTTCCCCTATATGAATATTTAAATTTTAAATCTTTTTTTACTGTGGTAAGCTATACGTGACATGACATTTACCGTTGTAACCATTTCTGATTATACAGTTTAGTAGCATTGAGCACATTAAGGTTATTTTTGTGCACCCATCACCACCCATCATCTCCAGAACTTGTTCACCTCCAAAACTGAAACTCTGTACTCATTCAACTACTGCTCCTCCCCTCTCCACCCGGCCTCTGGCAACCACCATTCTGCTTTTTGTCTGTATGAAGGTGACTGTTCTATTAATAGGTGCCTCTTACAATATTTGTCCTTTTTAGCTTCTTTTTTTTCATTTAGCATAATGTCTTCAAGGTTCACTCATGTTGTAGCATGTCAGAATTTTCTTCCTTTTTGAAGTTGAATAATATTCCATTGTATGTTTATGCCACATTTTGTTTATAACTTTTAAGTCTTTACACTTTATCTCTCAAATTAGATTGTAAATTTCACAAGAATAGACATTCAATATTATTAATTCTTTTTAGCCCATAATATAATGTTAAATGTTTTATAAATGTTTGGTGCTAGACAAATTGGTATATTCTATTAAAAATGCAAGTGAATCTAGAAAATAATAATAAAAGTTAACTTTTTTGAGAACTTATAAATGTGTCAGTAAGCCATATTAAGCCCTCTATGTGAATTCTCAAATGCATTTATCATAATTATTCTCTTATTTGATAAGTCAGGAGTACTATTGTTATCCTCTCATTATCCTTTCTTTTACTGAGTCATAGGCAGTCTGAGTTAATTTAAATCATTTTTAAATCTTTTTTTATTTTTCAATTACAGTTGACATACAATATTATATTAGTTTCAGGTGTACACCTCAGTGATTAGACAGTACATAACTTATTAAGTGATCATCTGAGACTCTTGTAGTCATCAGACACTATACATAGTTATTAAAATATTATTGACTGTATTCCTTATGATATACTTTACATCCCCATGACTATTTTGTAATAACCTATTGTACTTCTTAATCTTTTCACCTTACTCACCCATCTCCCACCCCCCAACTCCCATCCAGCCATCAAAATGTTCTCTGTATCTGAAAGTCTGTTTCTGCTCTGCTTGTTCATTTATTTTGTTTTTTAGATTTAATTGTTGATAGATGTGTATTTATTGTAATTTTATTGTTCATAATTTTCATTTTTTTCTTTTTCTTTTTAAAGAAAATCCTTTAACATTTCATGTAAAACTGGTTTATTGGTGATGAACCCCTATAGCTTTTCCTTGTTTTTGAAACTCTTCAATTCTAAATGAGAACTTTGCTGGATAGAGTAATTTTGGTTGTAGGTCCTTTTCATCACTTTTAATATTTATGGCCAATCCCTTCTGGTCTGAAAAGTTTCTGTTGAGAAATCAGCTGATTGTGTTATGGGAGCTATTTATAGGTAACTGCATTCCTTTGCTGCTTTTAAGATTTTTGTTTTTGTCTTTAATGTTTTGCATTTTAATTATGCTATGTTTTGGTGTGGGCCTCTTTGGGTTCATCTTGTTTGGGACTCACTATACTTATGTGTCTATTTCCTTCACCAGTTTAGAGAAGTTTTCTGTCATTTTTTCAAATAGGTTTTCAATTTCTTGCTTTCTCTCTTCTCCTTCTGGCACATCCATGCTATGAATGTTGGTATGCTTGAAGTTGTCCCAGAGGCTCTTTACACTATCTTCATTTTTTGGATTCTTTTTTCTTCCTGCTATTCTGATTGGGTGATTTTTTTCTTCTTTATATTCAAAATGCTGATTTAATTCTCAGCTTTATCTACTCTACTGTTTATTCCCTGTAAATTATTCTTCATTTTGTTAGTGTACCCTTTGTTACTGACTGGTTCTTTTAAAATTGTTTCCGTGTCCATTTTTATACTATTGAAGTTTTCCCTAAGTTCACTGAGCATTCTATAACCAGTGTTCTGAACTCTGCATCTAGTAGATTAATTGTCTCCATTTTTTAAATTCTTTTTCTAGAGTTTTCTTCTGTTCTTTCATTTGAGTCATGTTTCTTTGTCTCATCATTTTGACAGCCTACCTCTGTTTGTTTCTATGTATTGGGCAAAGCTGCTATGTCTCTCAGGCTTGGTAGGATGGCCTAATGTAGTAGGTTTTCTGTAAAGTCCAATGGCACAGCCTTCCCAAGCACTCAAGCTGGGCACTTCAAGTGCACCCTACCTATGTGGGCTGTGTATATCCTCCTATTGTAGTTAAGCCATGATTGCTCTTGGCACATCAATGGGAGGGATTTATCACCAGCCGATCTGCTCCAGACACTGGCTGAGACCACCAACCACCATGGAGGATCAGCTGTTCAGGGACCCATCCTATGGAGCAGGACTTACTTCAATGAGGTTCTTGTGCCCGCTGAGTCTGCCACTTGAGTGTATAACTTGTGGAGGTGGTTGGGTGAGGCATCGATATGGTCTAAAGCTGTACACCAGATACACTGGCTTTGGGGCCTCCTGGGAGTTGCAGACCAAGGTCAGCTGCCACATGTGTTCTGCCCAGGGCCACCTGGCATGAGCTACAAAATGATCTGCAGATAACTGCTACTGGTGCTGGGTTTGGAGCTATACAAGCTGCATACCAAGGCTGCTCCTAATGTCAGGCCTGGGGCCATTTAGCAAGAAGTACAGGACTTTGTGAAATAGGTCATTCATATGGAAAAGCCACTGGAAAAAGCTTGGGTGGGCCTGCAAGTTGGGTGGGGTGGACTCTCCAGGAATCACCTGGGCAGAGTGGGCAGTGTGTACCACATTGATGGAAACTCAGATATGGTGCCCACCTGCAGACTCTGGGGGAAGGGCTCAGAAAAGAAACAATGGCCTCTGCCAGCACTTTTGTCTAGTAGAAAGTTGTCCTCACCCCACACACACACAGCTCTTGCCTTGATACCAGACAATTCATTTCCTCCCTGTATGTCCTTGAATCCTTTTAAACTGCTTCCCCAGCACTGGAGCTCAGAGGAAGTGAGTCTGAGTAAGTCCGTTAGTAGGCCTTTTAAGAGGAACTGCCTGGGACTCCAAAAGCTCTCTGTATTTCTCAGCCATAGTTCCCCCTGGTTTTATAGCCAGAATTTATGGGAACTTTTATTCCTGGCAATGGAACCCTGAGCTTGGGTTCCTGGTGTGGAGCTGAGACCTTTCTTGCTTTTAATGGAGGACCTCCACAGCTGAGCTATCTTTCCCAATCTTTATCCACTACATATGGATATGTGACCAGCTCATTCTGCATCTCTGCCTCTCCTACCAATCTTGATGTGACTTCTTCTTTAATTCCCTAGGACTTCTATTCAGCTATATTTCTGGTGGTTCTGAATGATGGGGGCTCTGTAATTTAGTTGTAATCTTGATGTGGTTATGGGAGTATGTGAGTACATTTACCTATACTGCCATCTTGACCAGAAGTAGTTCAGGGTTTTTTGTTTGTTTGTTTTATCTTTGTTTTAATAATTCTATAGGAATACTTAAGAAGAAAGAAACTGCATGCTTTAATCAAAAGTATGAAAGGGAATTGAAGATAAAGGAAATGCGAAATAAAACCTATAAGCCTTCAGAGTAATTGACTCATTGTTTTATGTAAAACTTTACAATGAAAATTGAAGAGAAAATGTAGACAATAATGAAGTTAGAGAATTCTTACTATCTCAGCCATTGAGCA